GTGATCGCTCCAGCGCGCTTCTCTCGCGTCCCTGCCTCCTGGTTGGAGTGCGCCAGAAACACCCACCGATGGACACAACGCCGTCACGTCTGATCATGTTGGGGCGTGTCAAATTACGATGGCGCAAATCACCACGCCTTCCCCCCGTGTTTTCCAGCACGTGTGACCAGGACCTATGATTAGCTTTTGAATGGGAGACCACCCACTAATTCCAGGGTCACTGTGCAGGAGAAGGCAACGGCAAACCACCTCTGCTAGTCTCTTGCCTTGGGAACCCCACCAGGGGTTGCCTTAAGTTGGCTGTGTCTTGATGGCACTTTGTACACCCCCTCCCCCAGCAGCATCAAAGATCAAGGACTATCCCAATACAAAATTGATTTGAGTCATAATTTCCTCCCCCCCAAGACCAACTAACTGGACACCCCCCAAAGCTTGTGGCCCTTTCTTACACCCCCAGGGAAATGCTGATTGCCACTTTGGGGTCAGGAAGAAGAAGAAGAAGAGGAGGAGGAGGAGGAGAAGAGGCTGGATTTATGCCCCACCCTTCACTTGGAGTCTCAGAGCAGCTTACAAACTCCTTTCCCTCCCCCTCCCCACAACAGACACCCTGTGAGGTAGGCAGGGCTGAGAGAGCTCTGGCAGAAACTGCTTTTTTTTCAAGAACAGCTCTTATCAGAACTGTGGCTTGCCCATGGTCATCCAGCCAGGTGCAAGTGGAGGAGCAGGGAATCAAACCTGGTTCTCCCAGATTAGAGGCTGTGCACTTAACCACTACACCAAAATGGAAGCCATTTTTCTCCAGGCCAAGATTGGCCACGGAACTTGGAGGTTTTTTGGCATCCTCTGGGTATGGAACAGGGGTCACTGGGGGTGGGGGGGAGGTACTATGCAGGGGGTTGGACTAGATGACCCTGGAGGTCCCTTCCAACTCTATGGCACTATGATTCATCTGCTTAAGTGACACGTCCTCTAAGCTGCAATGACATTCTATATAGCCCTTTACTAAAAAGAGGCTGTAGTGTCCAATATATCCTAAAATTCCAGGTCCTGCTATTGACCTTGCAACTCCTCTGTGGCCGGAGGACCCTTTCTCCCATATGAACCTACCTGACTACCACAGTCATCTGCTTTAGGTGCCCCCCCCCCACCTGATGTTAGATGGGCGGCAAACTGAGAATAGGACTTCTCCGCTGTGGCTCTGACATTGTGGGATTGGCTCCCCACGGAGATTTGTTTGTTCTCCTCTGTCTTGTCATCCATCATTAAGCGAAGACAGTATCTGAAGAAGTGAGCTGTGACTCACGAAAGCTCCCTCCTCTGCCACAAATTTTGTTAGGCTTCAAGGTGCTCCTGGACTCTTTCTCTTTTCTTCTGCTACAGACTGACTAACAGGGCTACCCATCTTGATCTGTCTCGATGGAAGGCAGCACAGTTAGCTGTACAGAATGGAAATCCATCAGCCTTGTGACTGGTGTCGTGGTTAAGTGCGCGGACTCTAATCTGGGAGAACTGGGTTTGATTCCCCACTCCTCCACTTACAGCTGCTGGATGACCTTGGGCAAACCATAGATCTGTCAGAGCTGTTTTCTCAAGGGCTGTTCTCTCAGAGCTCTCTCAGCCCTGCCTACCTCACAGGGTGTCTGTTGTGGGGAGGGGAAGGGAAAGGAGTTTGTAAGCTGCTCTGAGACTCCAAGTGAAGGGTGGGGCATAAACCCAACCTCCTCCTCCTCCTCCTCCTCTTCTATCTGAAGAAGTGTGCTGCGAGTCACGAAAGCTCCTTCCCTGTCACATATTTTGTTAGTCTTGAAGGTGCTCCTGGACCCTTGCGCTTTTCTACTGCTACAGACAGACTAACACGGCGACCCATATTGATCTATTCTGTTTAGTTTGCTGTCCCCTCGCCGTCTCTGCCACTTGGTTATGTTTTTAAGTGTTTTAAATGGTTTTATATGTGTATTTTTAAAGCTTTGGATTGTTCGCTGCCGCAGGGTCCTTAAAGCAACTGGAAAGACAATGTTTTAAATGTTCAAATGTTTTAAATAAATAGAATAATTGTCGGATTAGTACAATTGGCTGACGAAAGATTAGGCCAACAGTCTCAACATGAGTTCTGTAAGGGAAGATCTTTTTTCCATGTAACCGAGAGTGCAGGTAGGCGCTCAACTTTGCTGTTTCATTCTGATGTCATTTGTTACCAAGAGCAAGAGGGAGGCGTCTTACCCTGTAGCGGGGGCAGCGATCGGGGCAGATAGAGCAAAAGAGCAATGCTGCTTCTATTGGCCATTCGCTAGAACTGCAGGCATCTCCAAACAGGAACAGGAAACAGCCGTGTCACGGTCAGAGGTCACTGCCTGTGTCCATTCATTAAACTGTAACAACATAATAATTTTTTTAAAGAGTCAGCGTGTTTCACAATGAACTAATTTGTTTTTGTCCTCCACCTAGGTAGTGATGATTAAAGAAGTTTTGCATTCAAGTAAATATTTTATTTTATTTTGCCATCAAGTAACAGCTGGCTTATGGTGACTCCCGGTGGGATTTTCAAGGGAAGAGATGTTTAGAGATGGCTTGCTATTGCCTGCTTCCACATAGCGACCCTGGACTTCCTTGGTCGTCTCCCATCCAAGTACTGACCAAGGGCTATCCTGCTTAGCTTTGGAGATCTGATGAGATTGAGCTAACCAGGTCAATACTTGGCCATTATTTGAGAAGCTGGCTGACAAAATCTTTTTTCGATGGATCATGTGAACATCCCTGCCATAACCCGGATAGCCAAGGCTAGCTCAGTCTCAGCCGGCCATGGTTAGTATTTGGATGAGAGACCACTGTCAGACTCCTGGTCAAGTTACTCTCAATAACGCCCTCTTTGGCAGTGATATGTTTATTGAGATATATGCAAGATCCAGATCAGAACAGAACTGTGTTAGAACTGGTGAATTTGGCACACACCGTCACAGATATAGATAATTAAAACAGGACCCCTTTCTCCCCAACCAATCACATGTTACACTCATCTCACCTAGCCATTGCCGACCCCCCCCCCCCGGAATATACAATCCCCTTATCTAAGCGTAAGCTGGCACAGAAAGGCTCAAGGTCATTCCCCTGTGAGACGAAGGTGTTATAAGGAAAGTTACTGCCTCTACAAGTGAAAGGTCCCACTCACACCACATTCACTCCCCTCCCCTCAGGAATTTGCCCTCCCCCCAGCATCTATGGCAAACTAAGCAGAGCAAGGTTTGACAACCACTAAGGAAGTCTAGCTCCTGCCAACCTAGCAGTTCGAAAGCAAGAAATTGCAAGTAGATAAACAGGTACCACTTCGGTGGGAAGGTAACAGCATTCCGTGCGCCTTGGTGTTTAGTCATGCCAGTCACATGACCACGGAAACATCTTCGGACAGCGTTGGCTCTTCGGCTTTGAAACGGAGATGAGCATTGCAACCCTAGAGTCGGATTCGACTGGCTTTCGAGCAAGGGAACCTTTACTTTTTTACCTAAGGAAGTCTAGGGTCATGAAGCAGGCAATGGCAACCCCTCCTCTGCTCATCTCTTGCCTTGAAAACACTACTGGGTCACCATAAGCTGGCTGTGACCTGGCTGCACTTGACACACTCACGTGAACATCCCTGACATCCAACCCTGTCCCCCTTTTCTGTCCTGTTTCATGCTGTATTTATTCTGTGACATTAATGGGGTTCGTGGCTTTGTGTTGGGGTAGGCTGGACTTCAGTGAAACTGAAGCAGGGAGAGGGGGAAATTTCTGCGTGTCCAACATACTGTGGTCCCTATGAACTGAACATGGTGCAAACTCTCATTTAACACCTCACTTTTTAAACATGATGCTGTAGCAGCACTTAAGATGAGCTCCTCAATGCAAGTTGTCCTTCTCTTTCTTGAACTTGGGCGTTCTTTGTTGGCAAAAGCAACCACTGTCAATCCCTCTGCACTTTCGGTGCTGGTGTTGATTGTTCTGGGGCTACAGAAATAAAGGGAAAGGGCCACTATGGCGCAGATGCCAACCTCCCAGTGGGACCTGGAGACCTGTAGCCCTCTGGAGCCAGCCACCCTTTTGCTGCTGCCACCACCGCCTCTCCCCCCCACCGCTGCCACCACCAAAGGGGGGGAGGAGGGGGGAGGCACAGCTTGGCACCCCATCCAGGGCCCGGCGCTCTAGGCGATTGCCTAGTTCGCCTAGTGGGTGAGCCGGCCCTGCCCACTGAGGTCCCTCTCCTCCACACTTGTGCGTGCGCACTGAAGTTTATACCCAGCATAAAACACTGTTGTTCTAGACTTTGTTCTGGAATGAAAATGGCTTTTAGTCTTTCAGGTGCCCCGGGACTGCAGGATGGCAGCCGTTATTTGCAAGTGGAATTTTGATTTCATAAGCTAAACCAGGAGTGTCGAACTCATTTGTTACGAGGGCCAGATCTGACATAAAGGAGACCTTGTTGGGCCGGGCCATGCGTGTCATAAAATGTAATGCCAGGTAGCGGAGATATAAACGGTATAAAGGACACAAACACAAAGGGGTGGGTTTTTTTTACTTAAAATAAAAAACATGCTTAAAAGATTAGCTCTGTAAGCTGCGAACCTACTTTTGATTTATTGACATTCCCCACTGAAATCTCATGCTCAGAGTTCTGAGTCTAGGACCCAAGTTAGAACATGAAATGGCCGAGCGATTCAGAGAGTCTGGCGAAGCAAGTTATGATGCAGCAGCAGCAGCGGAACTGAAAGCAGGAGATGGCCAGTTCCACTGCGGGCCTGATGGAAGCTCTCTGGGGGCCTGATCCGGCCCCTGGGCTGCATATTTGACACCCCTGAGCTAAACTGTAGCTGGAGTCAAGTCAGAGTTTCACATGATGTCTGGATCAAGCCAGGACTGGTCTTCTTCTCCATGATGTGCCCTGACAGAGCAATGAAAAATAAAAACATCTTAGTTTCAAATAGCCTGTCAATGCTGCTTTTTTTTTTTTTTGGCCTTTTAGGACCAACGTCTCCTCCTACGAGATCTTTCAGATGGACTTCGAAATTGACAACAGCAGCAGCCTGGCGGGTGCCCAGCAGATCACTTGGCAGGCGGAATACCCGCAGGATGAGGCCCTGAGTGAGCTGCTGGTCTCAGAGATCTTTGTCAGCCAAACCACTTTTGCCGGCATCGTTCCACTGGCAATGGTAAGAAGAGGTGCATCGTTTTCTGTTTCAGCTTCTGTTTTTTGGTTTTTTTACATTTCAATTTACAAATGTAAAATATAAACTACCGTATTTTTTGGACCATAAGACTCACTTTTTCTTCCAAAAAAAAGTGGGAGGAAAAGTGAGTGCGTCTTATGGACCGAAGGTTCAGAATATTTTTTTCCCTGTTTTCCTCCTTTAAAAACTAGGTGCATCTTAAGGTCAGGTGCGTCTTATGGTCCGAAAAATACGGTATATTTATATTCAAAATCATATGTTTATATAGAACAGATTTACATTTAATATTTCACTTCTATTTAAATATCTTTATTCTATCTTCTCTGTCTGTCTTCATACTCTTTCCTTCTATCATTCTCTGTTTTAATTTAATTTTGTTCGTGATTTTCAGCTATATAATTGGGGGGGGGGAATTCAGTTTTTCTGGAAATTCTGGAGTCGGTTTATTATGTATAAAAGATGTTGACTTTGCCATTGTAGCATATTCCTTTAGTTCATTCTTCATCAGGTCTGGGCATTTCTCTGCCTCCCATTTTGCTGCAGATATTACTCTTGCTGCCGTCACCATATACTTAAATAATTCACTCTGTATTTTAGTAATATTGTTTGGTATCATGTTCTGTTTTTAGAAGTGACTCTCTTCAGATTAATCTGCATGTCCCTTAGTTTTTTATTGTCGGTCCCCAAAACAGGAATGTTGGGATCAGTGGGAGAGGGGAAGAAATAGTTCACGGAAACTATTTTGATAGTGAAAATATGCCTTTATGTTGTCGAAGGCTTTCATGGCTGGAGTTCATTAGTTGCTGTAGATATTCCGGGTTGTGTGGCCGTGGTCTTAGCATTGTAGAATCTGACGTTTCGCCAGTAGCTGTGACTGGCATCCTCAGAGGTATAACACAAAAAGATGGAGTGCTCTCCTTGACACAGAGAGTACTCCATCTTTCAGTGTTATACCTCTGAGGATGCCAGTCACAGCTACTGGCGAAACGTCAGGTTCTACAGGGCCAAGACCACGGCCACACAATTCGGAAAATCTACAGCAACTGATAAAATATGCCCTTTTTTGGAATCCCATTAATAGCCTATAGGTCTCACCACCCTTTTTACCCCCTTGGTATTGTGCTATTATCTCCTTTCTGGTTTAGTCACATGTGTGATGCTAGCCAATGAGAGATCATATTTTGAACTGATGACATCTTTTATTGCTGTGAGGATAACCATGTAGGGA